CACACTCCTGAATAGAAATGGGAACTGAATATTGGATTCTTAAATGACCAAAATTTATATCACATACTACTGAAAAAGATTAAAAATCTAGTGTAGAGGTTAGACTCTTTGAAATACAATATTTAAAAACAAAAACAAAAACACACCAAAAAATTTAGAAATGTATATGAAGTTTGGTTTAAAAATAGGGTTTCTCTCTCTCTTTTTTTTTTTTTTTGCAAGGTTATAGTGAAATGAAAATGAAAATTAAGGAATAATAGAAGAGTATTAGAGGACTTTAAAAGGAAATAGGAGAAAAAAACAAGAAAAAGAAAAAAAAAGAAAAAAAAATTTTTTTTCCCCTAATTTAAAAAATCGTAAAAATATATGAAAATGAAAGTTGAGGAGTAATGGGGGAGTAATAGGGAATTTTAAAAGAAAGTAAAAGAGAAAAAATAAAAAATATAAAAAAAGGAAATTAAAAAAAAATTTTTTTTAATTAAAAAAAAAAAAAATATATATATATCTAGGAACTTCTCTGGAGTTGTTGCAGTCAGCGTAGGTTCAGTTCAATTTCAGATAGCTCCTCTTTCCAGCTTACACTTCTCGATATCTGTAGGCCCCTTCTGGTGTAGTCGGTGTTACCTTCAGGGATTTTAATCTGTTGCACCGGTCCTTTCTGAAGCGGTTCCCTTTGTTTATTTGGCTTCTGTTTGCCGTCTCTTTGGTGTGTAATTTCCACCCTGACACAGGCGGGCGGAGGTGATCTCTTATTTAGGTTCTCTAGTTCAGTTCAGTCCTGCTACGGGGAGGGCGGGGCGCTGCAGACAGATACCGCTCTGTGCGGAGAGCACTCACCGTGTTCCGGTCACACTGGGTTTGCCCCGCTCACGGGTGTCAGTGCTTTCCCCGTCTACACTGCTCAGCCTCCAGGCTGCTCTATATGGAGCGGGCCCTGCGTTGAGTGCGGTTCCAGTTTTCGGGTACTCCACAAAAGCGCAGATTCGGTTGCGCCTGCGTTTTGTGCCTTCCCCGGCCTGAGCGGTTCAGGCAGCCAGAGGCTTGGACGCACCCTCCCCGGATGTGGCGCGCCTTTTCCCTCCGCGGCGGGCGGCTCAGGCAGCCAGAGGCTTGGGCGCAATCTCCCCGGGTATGGCGCGCTTTTTCCCTCCGCGGCCCCAGCGCGCACCGCCAGTCGGGTCTCAGGAAGTCTTTAGATAGGAACCGGGGGCTTGTTTGCAGTGTGGGAGGGGGTGGCTTCTCAGGGGCTGAGTTTGCCCTTTTCCCTTCCCCCCTGCCTCCAACCTCCAGCGGGGATGGGCTGGCTCTTCTCTGGACTTTCTCAGTCCCTTTGTTTTGCGAACCGCTGGCAGTGTGTTCGGGCCGGTTAATTTTGACCCTTGCTATCCCACAGTTTAAAAAAGCTCCCTCCGATTGCTCTCAGGGTCTTCGGGCCGGTCCTTACCCTAAGCAATGCCGCCCGCTCCTCCTCATTATTGTCTTAATTGTCATTTCCCTAATGACATCTGGGGCTTTCCAGGTGGCTCAGTGGTAAAGGTTCAGCCTGTAATGCAGGATATGTGGGTTTGATCCCTGAGTCTGGAAGAACCTTGGAGTAGGAAATAACAACCTATTCCAGTGTTCTTGACTGGGAAATTTCATGGACAGAGGGGCCTGGCAGGCTACAGCCCATGGGGTTGCAAAAAAGCTGGACTAAACAATTAAACAACAATAATGAAATATAATATTGAGTGTTATTTCATAAGCTTGTTTGTCATTTGCATATCCATTTTGCTGGTGTGCTTAATATTTTGATCTTTTAAAACTGTTTATTTTTTTCATTGCTGAGTTTTAAGAATTCTTCGTACATTCTGGATACAAGTCCTTTATTAGATATGTGATTTGCAAATATTTTCTAGAAGTCTATGGCTTCTCATTCTCTTAACAATGTACTTCACAGAGCAAGTTTTTAATTTTAATAACATCCAACTTGGGGTCATTTTTTTCACGGATTATACTTTGTGTTTTTGTATCTAAAAAGTCATAACCAGTGAATATCATACTAGTTTTCTTCTAGATGTTTTATAGTTTTCATTTAACATTTAGGTCTGTATACATTTTGAGTTAATTTCATATAAGTTATGAGATCTGTGTCTATATAGAGAGATGTCCAATAGTTTCAGTAGTTTGTTGGAAAGACATTCTTTCCCCACTGAATTGCATTTGTATCTTTGTCAAAAGTCAGCTGATTAGGTTTCTGTGATATCTTTATTCCCTTCCATTGATCTATGTGTTTATTCTTACACCAAAACTGTACTGTCTCTAAAAGAAGCATAAGACATATTGTGTCTTTTTAAAAAATTTCATCTTTGTTTTATATTAGGGTATAGTTGATTTACAATGTTTTTAGTTTCAGGTATATAGAAAACTGATTCAGTTACATATATATCCATTGTTTTACAGTTTTTTTTTTCCTGTATAGGTTATTACACAAGAGTGAGCAGAGTACCTTGCACAATACAGTAGGTCCTTGTTGACTATACATTGTATACAGTGGTGTGTATATGTTAATTCCAACCTCCCAACCTCTGAATTTGTCCTCTCCCTGACTTTTCCCCTTTGGTAACCAGAAATTTGTTTTTGAAGTCTGTGTATCTGTTTTTGTTTTATAAATAAGTTCCTTTGTATCATTTTTTTAGATTCCACATATAAGTGATAGATATGTGTCTTTCTCTGACTTACTTCAAATAGTATGATAATTTCTAGATCCAACCATGTTCTACAAATGGCATTATTTAATTTCTAATGGCTGAGTAATACTCAGTTGTGTGTGTTTGTGTGTGTGTGTGTGTGTATCACATCTTCTTTATCCACTCATCTATCAATGGACATTTAAGTTGCTTGCATGTCCTGGCTATTGTAAAAAGTGCTATAATGAACACTGGATGCATGCATCCCTGCGAACCATAGTTTTCACGGGGATATATGCCAGGAGTGGGATTATTGGATCATATGGTAGCTCTATTTTCAGTTTTTTAAGGAACTTCCATACTGTTCTCTATAGTGAATGTACCAGTTTTCATTTCCAACAACAGTACAGGGTAGTTCCCTTTTGTTCACACCCTCTCTAGCAGACACTGCAGACTCTTTGATGATGGCCATTCTGATATTGAGCCACATAAATTGCTTGTATATCTTGTAGATTAATCCCTGTTGGTCACTTCATTTGAAAATTTTTCTCCCATTCTGTGGATTGTCTTTGCATTTTATAGTTTCCTTTGCTATGCAAAAGATTTTAAGTTTCATTAGGATCACTTTATTTATTTTTATTTTTATTTTCACTGCTCTAAGAGGTGGATCCCAAAAGATACTGCTGTGATTTATGTCAAAAAGAGTTCTTCCTATGTTTTCTTCTAGGAGTTTTATAGTGTCCAGCCTTACACTTAGGTCTTAAATCCTTTTTGAGTTTACTTTTGCGTATGGTGTTAGGGAGTGTTCTAGTTTCATTCTTTACACATGGCTGTTCAGTTTTTCCAACAGCAGCTACTGAAGAGACTGTCTTTTCTCCATTGTATATTCTTGTTTCCTTTGTCACAGATGAACTGACCACAGGCACATGGGATTATTTCTAGGCTTTCCATCCTTTTCCATTGATCACTATTTAGTTTTTGTCCCAGTGCCTTACTGTTTTGAATACTGAAGTCAGGATTCCTGATTCCTCGGCTCCATTTTTCTTTCTCACAATTGCTTTGACTCTTCAGGGTCTTTTGAATCTTCATACACATTTAAAAATGTTTTGTTCTAGTTCTGTAAAAAAAAGTAACTGGTAATTTAATAGGAATTGCACTGAATCTGTAGATTAGTTTGGGTAGTATAGTCATTTTGACAATATTGATTTTCCAATCCAAGAACATGGCATTTCTTTTCATTGATGTTGTCTTTGATTTCTGTCATTAGTGTCTTATAATTTTCTGAATACAGGTCTTTAGCTTCCTTAGGTAGGTTTACTCCTAGGTATTTTATTATTTTTGTTACAATGGTAAATGGGATTGTTTCCTTAATTTCTCTCTGATTTTTCATTGTTAGTGTATAGGAATGCAAGGGATTTCTGTGCATTAATTTTGTCTCCTGCAGCTTTACCAAATTCATTGATGAGCTCTAGAAGTTACCTGGTAGCGTCTTTAGGATTTTCTATGTATCACATCATGTCATTTGCAAACAGTGACAGTTTACTTCTTTTCCAATTTGGATTCCTTTTTTCTTCTTCTTTGATTTCCATGGCTAGGAATTCCAAAACTATATTAAATAAAAATGGCAAGAGTAGACATTCTTTTCTTGTTCCTGATCTTAGAGGGAAATGTTTTTAGCTTTCCACCATTGAGTATGATATTAGCTGTGGGTCTATCATATACGACCTTTATTATTTTAAGGTTTCCTTTATGCCCACTTTCGAGAGAGTTTTATCATAAATGGGTGTTGAATTTTGTCAAAAGATTTTTCTGCATCTCTTGAGATGATACTATGGTTTTTATTCTTAAATAATTTTAAGAAACAAATTTTATTCTTAAATTTGTTGATGTAGTGTAACAAACTGATTTGTAGATACTGAAAAATCCTTGCATCCTTGGGATCAATCACAGCTGATTATGGTATATGTTCTTTTTGATGTATTGTTGGATTTGGTTTGCTTGGTACTTTGTTGAGAATTTTCGTGTCTGTGTATATCAGTGATATGGAGCTGTAATTTTCTTTTATTGCGGTATCTTTGTCTGGTTTTAATATCAGGGTGATTTTTGTCCTTATAGAATGAGCTTGGGAGGGTTCCTTCCTCTGAAATTTTTGGGGACCAGTTTCAGAGGTATTGGTATTAACTGCCTCTAAATGTTTGGTAGAATTTAACTGTGAAGTTCTTATCCTTTGTTGTTTAGTTGCTCAATCATGTCTGGCTCTTTGTGACTCCATGGACTGTAGCATGCCAGGCTTCCCTGTCCTTCACCATCTCCTGGAACTTGCTCAAACTAATGTCCACTGAGTCCATGATGCCATCCAACCATCTCGTCGTCTGTCATCCCCTTCTTCTCCTGCCCTCAATCTTTCCTAGCATCAGGGTCTTTTCCAATGAGTCAGCTCTTCGCATCAGGTGGCCAAAGTACTGGAGCTTCAGCTTTAGCATCAGTCCTTCCAATGAATATTTAGGACTGATTTCCTTTAATATTGACTGGTTGGATCTCCTTGCAGTCCAAGGGACTCTCAAGAGTCTTCTCCAACACCACAGTTCAAAAGCATTAATTCTTGGGTGTTCAGCCTTCTATATGGTCCAACTCTCACATCCATACATGACTACTGAAAAAACTACTGGGACTTTGTTGGTAAAGTAATATCTCTGCTTTTTAATGTGCTGTCTAGGTTTGTCATAGCTTCTCTTCCAAGAAACAAACATCTTTTAATTTCATGGCTGCAGTCACCATCTGCAGTGATTCTGGAGTCCAAGAAAACAAAGTCTGTTCACTGTGTCCACTGTCTCCCCATCTATTTGCCATGAAGTGATGGGACCGGATGCCATGATCTTCGTTTTTTGAATATTGAGTTTTAAGCCAGCTTTTTCAGTCTCCTCTTCCACCTTAATCAAGAGGCTCTTTAGTTCCTCCTCACTTTCTGCCAAAGCTGAAGCTCCAATACTTTGGCCACTTGATGTGAAGAGCCTACTCACAGGAAAAGACCATGGTGCTGAGAAAGATTGAGGGCAGGTGTCATCTGCATATCTGAGGTTATTGATATTTCTCCTGGCAATCTTGATTTCAACTTGTGCTTCATCCAGCCCAGCATTCCACATGATGTACTCTGCGTAAGTTAAATAAGCAGGGTGACAATGTACAGCCTTGACGTATTCCTTTTCCAATTTTGAACCAGTCTGTTGTTCCATGTCCGGTTCTAACTGGTACTGCTTGTCCTGCAGACAGGTTTCTCAGGAAGCAGGTAAGGTGGCCCGGTATTCCCATTTCTTTAAGAGTTTTCCACAGTTTGTTATGATCCAGACAGTCAAAGGCTTCAGTGCAGTCAGTGAAGCAGAAGTAGATCTTTTTGGATCTCTCTTGCTTTTTCTGTGGTCGAACAAATGTTGACAATTTGATCTCTGGTTCCTCTGCCTTTTCTAAATCCAGCTTGAAGATCTGGAAGTTCTCAGTTCATATACTGTTGAAGCCTAGCTTGGAAGATTTTGAGTGTGACCGTGCTAGCATGTGAAATGAGTGCAATTGTGTGGCAGTTTGAACATTCTTTGGCATTGCCCTTCTTTGGGATTGGAATGAAAACTAACTGACCTTTTCCAGTCCTGTGGTCACTGCTGAGTTTTCCAAATTTGCTGGCATATTGAGTGTAGCAGTTTAACAGCATCATCTTTTAGGATCTGAAATGGCTCAGCTGTAATTCCATCACTTCCACTAGCTTTGTTCATAGTAATGCTTCCTAAGGCCCACTTGATTTCACACTCCAGGATGTCTGGCTATAGGTGAATGATCACACCATCAGGTTATCCAGTTCATTAAGATCTTTTTTGTATAGTTCTTGCCACCGCTTCTTAATATGTTCTACTTCTATTAGGTCCACACTCTTTCTGTTCTTTATTTTACTTCTATTAGGTCCACACTCTTTCTGTTCTTTATTGTGCCCATCTTTGCACAAAATGTTCCTTTGGTATCTCTAATTTTCTTGAAGAGATCTCTAGTCTTTCCCATTCTGTTGTTTTCCACTATTTCTTTGCATTGATCACTTAGGAAGGCTGTCTTATCTCTCCATGCTACTCTTTGAAACTCTGCACTCAGATGGGTATGTCTTTCCTTTTCTCCTTTGCCTTTCACCTCTCTTTTCTTAGGTATTTTTAAGACCTCCTCAGACAACCACTTTGCTTCTTTCATTTTTCTTGGGGATGGTTGTGGTCACAACCTCCCGTGCAATGTTATGAACCTTCATCCATAGTTCTTCAAGCACTCTGTCTACCAGATCTAGTTCCTTGAATCTATTCGACACCTCCACTGGATAATCGTAAGGGATGTGATTTAGGTCATACCTGAATTGCTAGTGGTTTTCCCTACTTTCTTCATTTAAGTCTGAATTTGTAATATGGAGTTCATTATCTGAGCCACAGTCAGCTCCTGGTCTTGTTTTTGCTGAATGTATAGAGTTTCTCCATTTTGGCTGCAAAGAACATAATCAATCTGATTTTGGTATTAACCATCTGGTAATGTCCATGTGTAGAGTCATCTCTTGTGTTGTTGAAAGAGGGTTTGCTATGACCAGTGCATTCTCTTGGCAAAACTCTATTAGCCTTTGCCCTGCTTCATTTTGTACTCCAAGGCCAAACTTGCCTGTTACTACAGGTTATCTCTTGGCTTCCTCTTTTGCCTTCCAATCCCCTAGGATGTAAAACACATCTTTTTTTGGTGTTATTTCTAGAAGGGCTTGCAGGTCTTCATAGAACTGTTCAATTTCAGCTGCTTTGGTTGGGGCATAGACTTTATGTTCTCCTAGACTTTCGTTTGGGAGTCCTTGGCAGCTCAACTTGTAAAGAATCCGCTTGCAATGCAGGAGACCCCAGTTTGATTCCTGGGTTGGTAAGATTCCCTGGAGAAGGGATAAGCTACCGACTCCAGTATTCTTGTTTGTTTCAATTTCAGTTATTTGTGATTGCCCTGGTTTATATTTTCTATTTCTTCCTGGTTCAATCTTGGAGGATTGTTGCTTTCTAAGAATTTGTCCATTTCTTTTAGCTTAATCCCAGAGGTGTTCTGATAGGCAGTTGTTGGCTCAGGAAGACTTTAGACAGCCTTTCTGGTGATGGGTGAGGCTGTGTTCTCACTCTTTTGGACATCTGACCTGAGGCTTCCCAGCACTGGAGCCTGCTGGCAGTGGGTGGTGCTCCATCTCTGTGCCAGATGGCAACCTCTGGGAGAGCTCAGACTGAGGAGTAGTCCCTGGGCCCTCTACCACCAGTGTCCTTGTCCCCACTGTAAAGCACGGCCAACCCCTGCCTGCAGAAGAGACTGTCCAAGAGCAGCAGGCAGGTCTGTCCCAGGCTTCTGTGGAGTCACTGCTTTCCCCTGGGCCTCAGTGCCTGTGAAACCTTGTGCATTTTCCAAGAGTTGACTCCCTGTTTACCCCAGGCCTGTGCCGCTCCTGTACTCAAGCCCCAGTGGCCTTTAAAGGCAAATGCTCTGAGGGATCCTCCTCCCCATGCCTGAACGTCAGACTGGGGAGCCTGGCACGGGGCTCAAAACTTCCTCTTGTTGGAGAAACTCTGTGACATAACTATTTTCCAGTTTGTGGGTCAGCCACCCTGGCATGGGATTTGATTCTATCGAGAGCACCTTTCCTACCACCTTGTTGTGGCTTCTTTGGATGCAGAATATCCTTATTGGTAGACTCTAGTCATTTTTGTTGATGACTGTTCAGCAGTTAGGTGTGATTTTGATGTTTTTGTAAGAGGAGGTGAGCTCAAGTCCTTCTACTCTGACATTTTGTCTCCTCCTCCTATTATGTCTTGAAGTTTAGTATATGATCACTGCAACTTTGTTCTTTTTGATTCAGTATTTTGACACTATTCTGGGTCTTTTGCTTTTCCCTATAAATTTTAGAATTAATTACCAAAAAAGCTGCCAGGACTTTGGGATTGTATTAATTTCTATAGAACAAGCTGGAAAGAACTGACGATTATGAAACTTCTAATGTATGAATGTCAAATATTTATTCATTTATCTAGATCTTTTGTGTTTAACTTTTCAGTGTTTTATAGTTTTCTACATATAGACCCTGTACATATTTTTTTGATTTACATGGTGTTTAAAAAATTTTTTTAATTTTTTAAATTCGTTGTTTCTTTGCTTATGTTGCTGTTGTTGTTCAGTCACTAAATTGTGTCTGACTCTCTGTGACTCCAAGAACTGCAGTATGCCAGGCTTCCCTGTCCTTCGCTATCTCCCTGAGTTTTCTCAAACTCATGTCCATTGAGTCAGTGATGTCATCCCACCATCTTATCCTCTGTCACTCCCTTCTCTTGCCCTCAATCTTTCCCAGCATTAGGGTCTTTTCCAATGAGTTGGCGCTTTGCTTATATAAAGGAAAGTATTTGACTTTTGCATACTGGCCTTGTATCCTGTAAATTCTTCTTAATTCCAAGGATTTGTTTTTTATGAGTTTCTACCTAGACATGTGATCTGTGTATAAGAATAATTTCATTTCTTTACAAGCTCTATAACTTTTATGTTTTTCTCTTATTGTACTACCTGGGATTTCTTTTATAACATTTAACATATATAGTAACAGAGGGTATCACTTTTTTTGGTCCAAAACTTAGGAAGAAAGTATTCAGTATCTTATAGTGTTAGCTATAGAGGCTCTTTAATATATACTTCATTGGTTAAGGAAATTCCTTTTATCCTAGTTTCCGAAAATCCTAAATGGGTGCTGATTTTGTTAAATGTCTGTATTCATTGATATGAGAATATGATTTTTCTCAGTATGTTAACATAGTGAATTTCATTGATTTTATGATATCAAATTATCCTTGACTCCCCGGAATGAACCCTGCTCAATAGTGCTCTATTAAGCTTTTTGTATGTTACTAGAGTCAATTTACTCATATTTTATTAAAATCTTTTATCTATGTCTGAGATATTTGCATGGGGCTCAGGTTGAAGCCCCAGAGTGGTGGCTACACAGTGCTGGAGCGACTTTAGGAGATATCCCTTGTCCAAGGGCAAAGAAGAAGCCCCAGTAGGATGGTAGGAGGGGCGAAATCGCATTTAAAATCAAACCCCATACCCACCAGAGATGCTCAGAAGGTTCAAACATACTTTGTGCACACCAGGGCCCAGAGACCCCACAGAGACTGGGACAGAATTGTGTTTGGGTGTTTCCTGAGGAGGTACGGGTCAGCAGTGGACTGCTGCAGGGGCAGGGGTGTGGGTGCAGCAGACTTGGGAGGCCCTCTTGGAGGAGGTCGCCATTAACCCACCATAGAGCTGCCAGAACTTACACAGGGCTGGGGAAACAGACTCTCGGAGGGCACAAACAGAACCTTGTGTGCACCAGGACCTAGGAGAAAGGAGCAGTGACCCCACAAGAGACTGCTCCAGACTTACTCATGAGTGTCCAGGAGTCTCTGGCAGAGGTGTGGGTCAGTGGTGGCCTGCTGCAGGGTCGGGGGCACAGAGTGTAGCAGTGCATGCATGGGACCTTTTGAAGGAGGTCACCATTGTCTTCATTACCTCCACCATAGTTTGGCCTCAAGTCAAATAACAAGGAGAGAACACAGCCCCACCCTTCAACAGAAAGTGAAAGTGAAGTCGCTCAGTTGTGCCTGACTCTCTGCAACCCTATGGAC